ATAAAAGTGGAAGAGAAAGAAGTTTACTGCACTCAGGGTGAAGAACAGATTGAATTAAAACAGGAGACTGATACCTGCATGGTGGTTCCTGTTGATGAGCAAACATACCAAACTGAATCAGAACCAAATGGGAACCAAGACATCTTACAGGAGCCTGATGAAACTGAGAACCAATATCAAGAAAGAAAAAAAATATTAAGTGTGACAAGTGGAAAGAGGTTTTATCAAAACCAGAATTTAACTCAGCACATGAGGATTCACACTGGTGAAAAGCCTCATTCATGTGTGACCTGTGGAAAAAGTTTTAGTCAGAAACACGTTTTAAATCGGCACATGATGATTCACACTGGTGAAAAGCCGTTTTCTTGTGTTACCTGTGGAAAAAGGTTCAATCGAAAACATAATTTAATTTGTCACATGATAAGTCATACAGGTGAAAAGCCGTTTTCATGTGTGACTTGTGGAAAAGGTTTTACTAGAAAATATGAGTGCACTCAGCACATGATGATTCACACAGGTGAAAAGCCGTTTTCATGTGTGACCTGTGGAAAAAATTTTCGTCACAAAGTTTGCTTAACTCAGCACATAAGGATTCACACTGGTGAAAAAGCCATTTTCATGTGTGAACTGTGGAAAAAGTTTTAGTCAAAAACATGTTTTAACTGATCATATGATGATTCACACTGGTGAAAAGCCGTTTTCATGTGTGAACTGTGGAAAAAGTTTTCGTCAAAAATGGGAGTTGACTCAGCACATGAGGATTCACACTGGTGAAAAGCCGTTTTCATGTGTGAACTGTGGAAAAAATTTTCGTCACAAAATTAGTTTAACTCAGCACTTGAGGATTCACACTGGTGAAAAGCCGTTTTCTTGTGTGAACTGTGGAAAACGTTTTTGTCAAAAACAGGAGTTAAGTCAGCACTTGAGGATTCACACTGGTGAAAAGCCATTTTTATGTGTGGACTGTGGGAAAAGTTTTAGTCAGAAAACAAATTTAACTCAGCACATGAGGATTCACACTGGTGAAAAGCCTTTTTCATGTGGGAACTGTGGGAAAAGTTTTCGTCACAAATTTAGTTTAACTCACCACATGAGGATTCACACTGGTGAAAAGCTGTAGAAGTATTTTCCATACATGTCCTAAGTTGAGGTTCACTATAGAATTGATTTTGTTAAAAACTAGAATGAAAGACTGGAGGGGTTTCATGTCTATAAAGATGAAAATTGTAGTATTTGTTAATTGTGAACATTTGGATCTTCACCTTTGGATACCTGGAGATGTGCATCCATGACACATTTTCTGTCAGAGATGTTTTTTTTTTTGGCATATTCTGTATCAAAAACTGCATGTTATTGTATTAACATGTTTATGTCAAACTGTATGTTGTGTTTGTGCAACGTGAAGATCAAAAGCTCAGCTCAGAGCCCTGAGGAGAGCCAGTACTGATGCTGATAGATGAAGAGACATTGTGGTCCATTGTGACTAATTTCATGCATTAACAGAGTTTGACTGGACATGGACTCCCTTCCAGAACATTCTCACAAGATTGGACTTGAGGGATTGATTTGTATCATTCTGTACAATAGTGAAAGTTTGTGGGGATTATTTTTGTAATTTTTAAATCAACAATATGATGTACAGAAGGGTTGAATGTTTTTTAAAAATCTTACAAATTATATTAACCAGTTTTACCTTAATAAAATATTTTCAAATGAAAAACAATGCATTTATACTTTAAATAAAATACAAAATTCACCACAAACTTATTTTCATGCATGTGATTATTTCCTATTAGCTTTTTTCTCTAGTTTTAGCTTGAATTATTTGCTGTTTTCTTGACTTTTATTATTTGCTTTATTATTAGCTGGGGTAAAGTGATTATTGCAGAGGGACTGTTGATTTATCTGACACAGGCTGAGCACAGCAGCTGGTGAAGCACATATAAAGACAAGTTGTCAAGGTTAAAAATATAGATCAATTGCCTACAAATTAAACTATTCCATCCATCCATCCATTCATCCATCCATCCATCCATCCATCCATTCATCCATCCATCCATCCATCCATCCATCCATCCATCCATCCATCCATCCATCCATTCATTCATTCATTCTCTTTACACCCTTAACCCTTGTGGGGTCGGGAGCTGCTGGTGCCTGTCTCCAGCGACATTCCTGGACAGGTGGCCAGTCTGTCGCAGGGCAACACACAGACAGACGGGACAAACAACCATGCACACACACACTCACACTTAGGGAGAATTTTAGAGAAAACAATCAACCTGCCAATCAATTTTTATGACTGGGGGAGGAAGTCGGAGTACCCGGACAGAGCTTTTGAATCCATCAAACTCAATTAGAATTTGACATTAGCTTACATCCTTATTTTTTTATTTTAAAAAAAATATCTAAGTTTCTCTCTAAAACAAAATTACATTGTTTCAAATTATATTAACCAGTTTAACATTACCTATGTAAAAGCTTAATGAATAAATAAAAATATACTTTTAATATTCATTATAAACTAATATTCAGACATTGATTTTTCTTGATTTTATAAAGTTTGGTTGATTATTATTGTCTTCAATAATTTAGTGTTTCTTTTGTTTAGTTGTATTTTTCTCTTTTCTGCTGCAGCTTATTCTGTTACTAGGAAAAGATTTTAGGTTCTGCAAAGAGAACTGGCACTTTATGAGAAATCTGTAGCTGTAATGATCGTAGGATCCACAAGGCGGTTAATGCGATGACATGAATGAACGACAGTCATTAAACTCCGAAGAAGAAGAAGACAAAGGACGACACGTGGTCTGTTTTGTTGAATGTTTGAATGTTTCTCTAATAAATATCTCCAGTCCAGCTTAAACCAGTGAATCAGCGAGCAGTGAACTGCAGAAACATTGACAGAGTTTAAAGAAATCATCGTCCAGTCGGAGGAAGAGATGGATGATCAGCGCAGACTGCTTGATTTCTCCCGGACTCCCAGATCATCTTACACCAAATAGGTAGGAAACAGCAGCGTTGGATGCAGGTTAAGGTCTAAATGTCTGCACCTTCCTGCATGAGGATCATTTTAGTAAACGCTCTTTTCCCGGATAAATGTTTTGTTAGCAGGTAAATGAACGCAGACATCACAATGAGAATGGCTGATTTATGGAAAGAAAATGACCTTTTTATGGCTCTTCCTCCTTTAACTACTGAGTCTTTCTTTTGAAAACGGGAGAAATGTGAACAATGCAGCGCGAGGTTAGTAAAGAAAGCAGCATAACTAATAATAGCGGTGTTAGAAGCTGTAAAATGTAATAATTTGTAATAAATAAATTGTCAAACCAAACATCCTATAAAAGTTCAATCAACAAGCTGCACTGAGGTGATGCTTCATACGTAGATAAGAAGTTCAATGTCCAAAAAACTTTAAGATTCCTTTTATAGTTTATTTCTCCAGTTTAACAAGCAAATAAAAAAATAAACTTTTCATTAGTGATGTGGCGAGTAATCCAGGAGGATTTTAATGAAGCACATAAAACAGAGAATTCACCTAAACCAGAATACAGTTAAAGTTTTTATTTTAGTAATAAATCGTTACCTCTGGTGAAACAGCGAATAACAAGCCAATCACAACTCTCTGTTTTTCTATTTGTTTCTAGTTTCCTTTTTGATGCAGCCATTGTTTCATACAAACAGATTAATCAGAATCACAAACATCTTTTACTTGTTTATTCATTGTAAGGCTTCGTGTTGTTTTCACGTTGCCTATTTTACATATATTGTCCACTTGATGTCACAGTGGAGCATATGAAGCACCGCGGTGCATCGGCTCATGAGTCCATGATGGGATGGAGTTCCTCAGAGCTTCATGAAGCTTCATCTCACCATCACTACTTTTCATTGTTTCCTCTCCTGCTCTGGTCAAAAGCCACAGGCCCAACCAGTGCATGCTGGTCCTTTACCAGTCCCTATACTTACAGGAAATGGACCCACAGTTCTTCCTGTCTAACTTAGAAAAGCAAATGACAAAGGAACAAAAACTAAACGAATATCAACCTACAAATAACTCTGTAAATAAACCCCAAAATATAAAGTGAACTAAAATCAAATTGTAAGAAAATAAATGATACCTCCAAATTAAGTAATATCTTTAAATAATACAATTTACTCGACTATAATTTTAGAATAAATAAAAAATATTTTTTTAATAGATGTTTATTTGATAATTCTATAATTGTCAACTGTCTTTCTGCGCTTGCTTTTATTGTGTGTGTGTTTTTTTTTTATACTTCCGTCTTAAACAATGAATAATTTCTCCTATATACTTCAATAAAGTTAACAATTATTCTTTTCCTCTGTTTTCTTTTCCAGATTCCCTGCAGTGTAACGTTTATAACCAGGAGAGGAGATTCACTCTGGACCAGGAGGAGTTAGAACCTCTGCAGGTGAAACAAGAACAGGAAGAGCCAGAAGATCATCAGATAAAAGAAGAACAGAAGGATCTAGAACACCTGCAGATAAAAGAGGAAGAGAAAGAAGTTTACTGCAGTCAGGGTGAAAAACTGATTGAATTAAAACAGGAGACTGATATCTGCATGGTGGTTCCTGTTGATAAGCAAACATACCAAACTGAATCAGAACCAAATGGGAACCAAGACATGTTAACAAATCCTGATGAAACTGAGAACCAAAATCAGGACAGAAGAAAACCTTTGTCAGGTGTCATCTGTAAAAAACAATTGACTGCCAAATATGCTGTCAGTGATCATATCAGAATTCATGAGAGTGAAAAGCCGTTTTCATGTGTGACATGTGGAAAAAGCTTTAGTTATAAACAGCTTTTAACTCGGCATGATGATTCACACTGGTGAAAAGCCGTTTTCATGGAACTGTGGAAAAAGTTTTCGTCAAAAACAGCATTTAACTCAGCACATGATGATTCACACTGGTGAAAAGCCGTTTTCATGTGGGAACTGTGGAAAAGTTTCGGTCGAAAAGAGTATTTAACTCAGCACATGAGGATTCACACTGGTGAAAAGCCGTTTTCATGTGTGAACTGTGGAAAAAGTTTTAGTCATAAACTGTGTTTAACTCGGCACATGAGGATTCACACTGGTGAAAAGCCGTTTTCATGTGTGACATGTGGAAAAAGTTTTAGTCATAAACTGTGTTTAACTCGGCACATGAGGATTCACACTGGTGAAAAGCCGTTTTCATGTGTGAACTGTGGAAAAAGTTTTAGTCAAAAACCGCATTTAACTCAGCACATGAGGATTCACACTGGTGAAAAGCCGTTTTCATGTGTGAACTGTGGAAAAAGTTTTAGTGAAAAACAGAGTTTAACTAAGCACATGAGGATTCACACTGGTGAAAAGCCGTTTTCATGTGTGAACTGTGGAAAAAGTTTTAGTCATAAACTTTGTTTAACTCTGCACATTAGGATTCACACTGGTGAAAAGCCGTTTTCATGTGTGAACTGTGGAAAATGTTTTAGTCAAAAACAGGCATTAACTCTGCACATGAGGATTCACACTGGTGATAAGCCGTTTTCATGTGTGAACTGTGGAAAATGTTTTAGTCAAAAACAGGCATTAACTCTGCACAGAGGATTCACACTGGTGATAAGCCGTTTTCATGTGTGAACTGTGGAAAATGTTTTAGTCAAAAACAGGCATTAACTCTGCACATGAGGATTCACACTGGTGAAAAGCCGTTTTCATGTGGGAACTGTGGAAAAAGTTTTAGTGAAAAACAGAGTTTAACTAAACACATGAGGATTCACACTGGTGAAAAGCCGTTTTCATGTGTGAACTGTGGAAAAAGTTTTAGTGAAAAAAAGAGTTTAACTCAGCACATGAGGATTCACACTGGTGAAAAGCCGTTTTCATGTGTGAACTGTGGAAAAAGTTTTAGTCAAAAACAGCATTTAACTCGGCACATGAGGATTCACACTGGTGAAAAGCTGTAGAAGTATTTTCCATACTTGTTCTATGTTGAGGTTGACTATAGGATTAATTTAGTTAACTACTAGAATTAAGGACTGGAGGGGTTTCATGTCTATAAAGCTGAAAATTTGTATTTTTTTAAATGTGATCATATGGACGTTGTGCAACCATCAAACAATAATGATATAACAAGTACGATATAACAATATGTTATTGTACTTATATACTGTTTATATCAGACTGTATGTTGTGTTTGTACAACGTGAAGAGCAGAGGGCTCAGCTCAGAGCCCTGAGGAGAGCCAGTACTGATGCTGATAGATGAAGAGACATTGTGGTCCATTGTGACTAATTTCATGCATTAACAGAGTTTGACTGGACAT